TGAGGCAGGCAGTTCTCTTGCCTCATCGCTAGGGTCCCTAACCCTGATCCCAGATATTGTGACTGCACAACTGTAGAGTAAGATGCAGTGAGATAGCCATGGAGCTAGCCATACAGTAAATAAGTAGAGAGTACAGCGATATATTTGTTTTCTCCTCTCTTCCGACGTCAACATGAAATACTACATTTCTACACTTAAACCGTTTTCTAAAGTGGATTTTCAATTGAAGCAGGAGATATTAACTAAAGGAAGACCAGCAAGGAGCTGAAAGTTTTGCTTCGAGACAGTTTGATGATTCTCAAACGGAGTAGAAAAGACATGCTGAAGATAGACTTGGCTTTGGATGAACCGCGGATTGACGTAACACCGGAATCTGCGGTGCTGTGAGGATTGCCATGATGATGATGGCAGATCGATCATTCATATTAGTAACTGACAAAGAGTATCAGAGACTGAGAGAACGATGAGATCCTAGCAGTCTAAGAGGCAACTACTCAGAGATCCAAGCAGGGGGGAATGGCGGCGCTGCAAGGACTCATCACTACGGGGTGAGGCAGAGCCACTCCCTGAGCAGCTAGTAGTAAACAGCTTACACCCATGGCTAACTCCGGGAGTCAAAGTAGAAAGCCCAAAAGACCTTCTTTTTTTTACTGCTTTTAATCAGTTTTCAGCTAATTAAATCCAAGTCTATGGAACACAAAATATCACCAAAATCACTCTGTCCCTCTAAAATCTTTCAGAAAATCGTAAAAGTGCATTGAATCGTATTGAATTTTATTGTTTGCCAAATATCTTGATATATCGTATTGTGATCAGAATATCGTATATTCTTTCGTGAGATTATTGTATCACTACACCCCTAATTTAGGGGCCATTACTTTTTCACATAGGGTCGGATTATTTTGCCTTAATGATACTGTCATTTGAAAATTGCATTTTGTTTTTATTCAAGTTGTCTTTATCCACTTTGTTTGATGATCTGAAACATTTATGTTGGAAGAAAAAAACAAAAATGCAAGAAAAAGCAAGGAGTCAAAAGTTTTTTTTTCACAGCATCAGAAGCACCAGGGATCTGAATTGGGATTTAAAGTTCATCTTTCACTGATGTCAAAATTAATAAATCCCCAAAATTGTGTAAAAATGACAGTGCATCCATTTTTCTGCCAAAGGAAACTTTGGAAACAATGTCAGCACTCTCATGTTCAAGTTCTAAGCAGCAGGATTTAAATGGCATGTTTTTTTCTCTAAATAAAGTATTGTGCAGTGTCTCACCTCTCCCACAGCGTTGGACAGGATCTGGACAATTTTTTCATGGGGAGTTGCCACCACACTCTGATTATTGATCTCAATGATGCGATGGCCCACTCTTACACCTCCTCTTTCAGCAATTCCACCCCGCATAAGGCTACAAATCTGATGAATAGATGCAGTAGTTTTTTCAGACGAAAAATACAACTTCAATTAAAAAGTTGACAGACTATAAACATATTTTTCTAAAAGAGTAAAACACCAGCCCTACTCACAATGCCATTCTGTACACTGAATCCCAGCTGGTAGCGCATATCTGGCCGCCTGATAAGGACTGTAGTTACTGGTGGACATCTGACAATATTCAAATTTATCCGAGACTGATTCTTTAGACCCTATACAAAGGAAAGCATATAGAATTTGTTTACTCTCAAAATGTACAATTCATTAAAGATATGAAAGAAATTTAAAATTAGCATAGGATGGTAAAAAGAAAACTAAGGGGCCACAACAACATGTGCCCCTTTAGTTTTTGTATTGTGGGTTGTCAGGGCAAAAGGTCTGACAAGTCATTGACAACCTATATATGAACTTCCCTTGGTACCAGAACCAAGTAGGATGTCTTCCACAATCCTGGAACCTTCTTTTGAATCGAGCTAAGTTTGAAAAGATTTTGTAGAATCTCATAGAGCTGTTCTGCACAGGCCTTTGGGACTCTGGAACTAACACCATTAGCCCTGCTCTAGCTCAGTCTCTCCAGTTTCCTCTTCACCTGACTTCTAGAGACAGAAAAATGGAAGGGGAAGGTAAAGGGACCAGCAGCGTCTTCTGATATGTAGACATAATATGTAGAAGCAGAAAGATCAGTAGTTGAGGTGGAATATAAAATATTTGAGGTGTGACCAGTCTAAATATCTCAAAGGATGGTAGGAGCTACAATTGGCTGGGGGCAGGAGAAGGGGATGATGAGCTTGTTCCTAAAGTGAACTGTTGCATAATGTATTCAGTTCATTTGCTCTGTCCAGA